AAAATAATAATAATTCCTTCCATTTCAATAAGATCCTCACACGCTTAGTGCTCGGGCCCTAATAATAAAATCAATAAAAACAAGCAAAAGCACCAAGAATAAAACAATTAAACAAACTAACAAATACAAAAAATGCTTCTGTTTATGTTTAATTTGGGGATTTAAAAAAATTAAAATCAAATCATTTATTTATTTCTGTTTATGAAAATAAAATAAAAGATACAGAGACTTCATCACACACTGAGCAACCAGTTAAAGGAGAACTGTAACACAAATATCCAATCGACCACAGCGTCACATATTCAGAAATGATAGAAAATAAGTCTAACCTTCAGCAGAACATCTTCTCTCGTTATTTAAACCCTCAGTCTGTTTTGTTGTTCAGTGGCCAGAGGGCAGATTGATGTCCTTTGCTGTCCGAAAGATCTCTACATCGTCATTCTTTTTCTTTTTTAGGTTTCATTTGTCTGTCCATTTTGAATTTGTCTGATACGATACGTATCAGGTTCTAAAACATCGTACCTGGTCCTCATGATGGCAGATTGGCAGAGATAATCTATAGTCTATCTAATCTATATAATCTGAGGTTTGTGGGTGTCTGTAAAATAACTAACATTGGAGCAAAGATAAATTAATATTAACCTAATAGTAGTTAAGAGTTGCAAATCTAAAACAGAGCAAGCAGTCAGTGCAGACTTTAAGAAGTAGTAGTAGTCTTAACATACTTTTTTTAGTCGTCACTGGAGGGAAACACCTTTAGAAAAAAGAGTAGAGTGATTACTAAAAATATCATCAGTTGTTTTTTATTGGTCCAGTGCTGCCATTGTGCAGACCCTAGAGACATTTGTAATGTATTCCTCTGGGATAAAATGTGTAACCCTGAGTGACAAACCACTAAATACAGCATGATACAGAAATGCAAGGTAAAAAATAATGTAATATGAGTTTTGATCCAGTGTAAATAACATATTTCAGCTGTTAAATTAATGTTAATTCCAAAAAATCTACTTTTTTCTACATATTAAGATTTTGTCACGTGTAGCCACATGTCTTCACACTTTGCACTGCAAATGTTGTCTTTCCACCTGGAAAAGAAAATATTCTGTAGGGCTTTAACCTTCTAAACATAGTCATTAGTTATCAGCATATACTGTATGTCTATTCAATAATGGAACAGATACAATGAACACTTTCTGCAAAGGAGTCATTTTTACATAAAGACACTTTTATTAGCTTATACATACATCTCTGGTTATAATAATTAGTTATATAATACCAAGAAGTCAAAAATAATAACTGTAGTTATATATTTATAAAACTAAGCAGATATACTACTCTTGACTTTTAAAAACATAAATGTCTTTGATATATATTATAGTACTTGTCTTGTTTCATCGGTCACCAAATCTAAAAAAAAAAAAACAACTCACAGGGTGAAGAGGTTATACAGTATGAGTTTAGGATTAATGTATGTGTATATTATTGAGAGCCACTGTGTGTGCACCAAGTCAAATGTCACATTTTCTGCACCCCCAAGCATCCAGTATCATTAGGACAACACATCTCGTTCAGTTCATCTGCTGGTGAAAATCCTGCACAGACAATGCTAATGCTAATCCTTCTGAAACTTCCTGTCATGAAACGTACAGCTGGCGACACAATCTTGGAGTTCCGTTTTTGCAGAGTCAGCAAGTCATTTCCTGATGAATCTTGAACTCGGATTTGGTGCATCTGTGCTTTCAGTTAAATTTAAACATTCTTTTGTGTTTGAAAGAGTCTGGAAGGTGAGTGTACGTGGGAGCATTGATTCATTAAATAACTCCACAAGCTTTAATTCAGTTAGAAACTCAAAAGATGCTTCTACACTTCAGAAGATTTCTGCAACCTTTCTGCATTGTGCAACATGATATAACCTTTCTATCTTTAACAACAGCTTTTTTAACAGCTTCAGAATCATTCTGACGCTACACTGAGCAGTAACAGGGTGAGTGGTTCCTCTGTACGTCTATTCTTGCACTATGTAACTATAGTCATGAGCAGGCGTAAAGTCAAAATCTGGAGGACCCCGCTACTTAATTCTCAAATAACTGCCCAACTGTGAATTTTTGTGACATGGCTGTACAGCTCAATTCATTGTCCTATCTTGTTGTCTGTGAAATTGCCTTTTCCTTTTCTCTGATCTTCCGTAACAGTGATGGAAATTACAAATGATTAGCTACAAATTTGCAAGACGGCAGGATATTGTTAGCATTGCGTCCTAGCAACGCTGCATCAAGTTTAGCTGGATGTCCCCAGTACAGCCCATCTGGTTTCTATAACCTCACACTTCTTCACCATGCAATGACAAAACATTGTACAAGGCGTGTTGTCCGTGTCCAGATACCCAGGCGTGTGGAAAAGAACACGCACACACACACACACAGCACCACATATATGACTCAACGCTGACACAAGGTTTAGAATACTATAACACTGTCGGTATAGGAACGGACCTTGACACAAAGGCTGAACGAGGAGCAGGAAGTTAGCAAACCTTTTCTTAGGGGAACCTAAACTAGAACAAATAAATAAATTAAAGTTCTCTCTGTAACCCTTCCGACCACAGCACCCTGGGTAAACGCCGTTGAACATTTCACACAGAAGCTACGCATACTTCCAAATATGGCAACTGGAGCTTGTTTGTTTTTGCGTTAGCTTATTTTGGTCAAACTGGAGATGAATGCTAGCTGTGCTGGTAACTGCTGTGTTCATCTGAATTAACTGTGTGGTTGTAAAAAAATAAAATAAATTGCTTGTTCAACAAAGTTCGTTAAAGTATAATTTCTCTTTATTACAACCTGGCTGTTAGTGTTGTAGTTTTGAGCATAATTACTATCAGTAATAGTAACATTGTACTCATCAGGTTTGGGGCTACAACTAACGATTACCGGTATGTTCATTATTTTTGTGTTTGTTCTGCCGATTATTTTCCGTCAATCAACTGATTAATCATTTGTTAAATGTCAAAAAATTGTGAAAAAATCCATCACAACTCGGCAGTTAATAGTTTACTATTTTCTATAACAAAGACAAGCAGCAATCACTTGAGGAGCTCGAACCTGAGAATGTTTATTATCTTTTACTGCTCTTGCTTAAAAATTAACTATTAATTATCAAAATAGTTTGAATTTCAAAATTGAATAATTGTTTAAGCTCTAACCAAGGTCAGGTTAAAGGTCCAGTGTGCAGGATTTAGTGGCATCGAGTGGCGTAGCTGCTGGTTGCATCTCCCTCGCTTCACAAGCACGAAAGCAAAACTACAGTGGCCACAATAAAAATGAACGCACCTATCTAGAGGCAAATTATCGGGATAATTAAATCAAGCTGATCAATCCTCTTATGTTCTATAAATCCAAAGTATGTCTGCTTTTATATTGAACTCCACTGGAAACATTAAACGAACATTTGAAGAGAACTGCCTGTGTTGTTCGGGTGTTGACAATGAGTAATGTCATATAGATTCAACCTTTGCTGTGCATAAACTACAGGTTATGAGCTTTTTTGTTTTTTAAATACAAAAATGCGAAATTACTGGTTATCTTATCGATATTGGTCATGAGAAGCAGGTAATTATCGGTTATAGGCTAAATCCATATCGTGCATCCCTACTCAAAATTCTAAGATATTCAAATTGGTGAATAAAATAAATATTGTTGCAGCTCTAGATGAAAGTAAAAATATGTTCACACACGTTTCGTTTGAAGTTTGGTGTGGTTCGTTTGGGAATATGTGAATGTCACTCTCGGTTGCCCAACCCTAATGACCACACAAGTGGTTTTAGATAATCTAGCTAATCAATGCTTGTCAATGACCTGTTTGACTATAATGTTGCTGTGTTAGCAGATACAGTACTTTAGCGAGTACAACGTTAGCACAAATGATAGGAAATGAAAGCTAAAACTACAAAAATAAGACCCAAGTTGTAATAAAACAGCATTCTCTTTGAAATAACTCCTTTTGTGCTTTAAATCCAGATCCACGATGACTGTGTAGAAGTAGTTACCGTCATCACATGTTGGTAGTAAGTTTTAAAATAATCACTGGCGTTGTGATTTTGAAGGACGGGGGTTAGCATTGAGAAGTTACTCTTCCATATACAGCTTCTTCCATCCTGAAGGTCTCTGTCTTTCCAAAGAGGTAGGACTATTTTGTTGGCAACACAAAGATTCTGTCTCGTTTATTTTCCTCTCGTCATATTGGCAACGCAGGGACGAGTCTCTGCCCGACCCAACAGTGACATTCAGTCTTTTCTGGTGGTCCACAGGAAATGCATAGCAGCAGCAGCAGCAGCAGCAGACAGGGCAGAGAGTGTTCAAGTGTTTCCAGTGTTTTGCCTCTTTGTTGCCTTGTTTCACTCATCTGCTTCCTCGCCCTTCACTGCTTGACTTTGAATTTCATAATCATTTTTCCATCCGGTTACGCGTTGATCCACTCGTCTCTCCGTCCATTCATCCCTCTTTGTCTCTCTGGGGGAGGGGTGGTGTCACAGCAGCATCTGATCAAGAGGCATGTCATCGTCAGGAGGCATCAAAGCTGAAAGACAAGAAGGAAATGACTGCACATGGATGCATGCGTGTGTGTGTATCCTGCGCTCAGCAGAATGTGAGGATCTGTCCTCTCCAGGTAAAGATGGAGGCTGATTTATTCCCCCATTAGGAACTGCTTCATCATTAAATATTAACCCCGTGCCATCACTCACCCTGCGGCCAATGCATTAAAGCAGGGGTCGCACCAGGGTGACCTCACACACACTCACATACTCACACACACACGCACACACACACACACTGAGGCCACTTTTATCAAACATTGCTCCAGGGCCGCAGTGATCAGTGATCACAGGGGTTATGTCCTCAGTGAATTCGGGGAATTTAGGGCTTTTAAACAACCTGAGATTCTACAATTGAATATAAATTACACAGGGTCTTCATCATTAAATATTCAGATTAATCAAGTTGAGGCAGAGCAGCCGGAGGAGATCAGAGGGAAAAAAAATATTCTCTCCATGAAATATGATCCAGTTGCGCCCAAATCACAGATAAAGTTCAAAAGTAATCAGTGAGGTCCAGAAGAACTCCACTCCGGCAGAAGCTGTTGCTTACTTCACCTTTAAGTAGCCAAGAATTAATTTCAGTAAGTGTAGCATTTTAGCTTTGTTATAGTTTGTGTGTTTGCTAGCATGTGTGTGAGTGTTTGCTCACCTGTCCCAAAGCTTTACACTCCTACAAGAGTTGGTGCAGCAACCAGCTGATATCAGAGCTGCAACAGAAATTAGAAGAAATAATTAATAATCAGTTAAACAGCGACACCCATTGTCAAATTTGTGTGTGTGTGTGAGTATTTGAGTGTGACTTTCAAGCACTGGCTTCATCATCAGTTCACAGCTGTTCATTCCAAACACACACACAGTGAAAGGTGTATCTCCTCACTGACTGTACGAAAAACTATTCTCTCTTTCTGTCAGTCCACTGACACGGATGGGCAGCCACTGGCAGCGCTTCCTCTTACCCATCATCCTCTCCTGTCCTTTCTTTTTGTGACAGTAACCATAGATATGTCAGCCTGATGCACGTCACATTTCATGGGAGAAGCAGCACTCAAAAAATGCACACATCTTTACAGAACCTTGTTCTATCACAGTGGCAAGACTGCGTTTACATCAATGATGCTTGGTGCTCAAAGGTAAGTAAGTTAATGTTGAGTTTGTAATATTAAAGCTTATATATAAGAAACTGAGAAACAGGAGCTAAGTAAAGCTTGGCAGATCCCCTTCTCATGGGTGCTTCCCAGCTGAACAGGAGACAATGGGTGTGGGCTAGGGCAGGGCCTTGCTGAGTGGAGTACCATTGGCTCAGATCTGAGTTGGTCCTGAAGCGCCACACAGTAGATGCCAACTGCTCCTACTACTTGGGATGGAGGTCAAATGCAGACACTGAATTCCTGGATACTATTGGTTAATTATTTCTTTATTCTCACAAATGCACAAAGCTCAGCCAAATGGCAGAGCTTGCCAAAAACAGATTTAACTCAATGGTTTCCCTCTACACGGAAGTCTGTAGTTAAAGGCGAAAGACTTGGCCATTATGACGTGAAACCTGAGAAACTACTCCCCTCTGCTTAAGTCTGGTGTCGTCCCAGCCAGTACAGTTGTGGTTTGTCTCCCATGGACTTATTGCCTGCCAACATGCCAGGCCACAACCATTCCCCAGGCCATTCCCACACTACCACAGAATCATTTCAGTCTGGTTGCAGAGAAAATTAAGGCTCAGCAGTAAAACAGGCTACCAATCATCAGAAATGCCCAGGCACCAGGAAAATGGTCAATGGCAAGGTCAATGTGTTTTTTGGACCCATCAGAGGGCATTATTCCCCCCTTTTGACTCCACGTCTGTGGATTTTCTAGTCGTTGTTTGTCATGTTTTCACCTTTGCTTTAAAAAAGGTTCTTAAGAGATAAAAATATCCAGTGAATTTGAAGTTCTTTGTACCCGTGTTTGAGTGGTAATTGTTGAGGGATGAATGATTTAGCAAATTAACTTTACTCACTCTGCCCCACACTGAAGCATTTTAGTGGCCATGTGTGCTAGATTATATGCTGCTTGACTTTTCCAACAAATGTTCACACTTGAATGACACAAAAAGTTGAAATGAGCTGATAAATGTTGACCAATCAGGAAAAACATCATCTCTGCCTGACAGATTGAACCAGCTGAACACTGACATAGGGAGCAATACTAAATTAAATTTCACTATAATTGTAACTGTATGATTAAGCTACAATCATATCTGCATTTAGCCTCAGTTAGTTAGTTAGTTAGTTAGTTAGACAAGATATCTGCAGTAAAAGTTAAAGTTGAATCTTGAGCAATGTGTCAGAATTACCAGGACCATCTGACTGACAACCAATCAAAAGTCGCGTAATATGAACCTGTGTGAATTATGGTGAGGTGGTGCAGTACCACAGATCAAACTATGGGGGGCGCTGTGTGGATACACAGATTATACACAATGTCGGGTTATTGTGGACTAGAAGGACTTTTGCTGAAACTTTGGATTGAGCTCTCTAGAAACACTTTTTATTAGCAGGAAACTGACTCTGACCTGCTAATACAAAATGTCCACCTAGTGTCGGTGTGTATTC